TACTACTACTACTAGTACTGGTACTGCTAGTACTGGTACTGGTATTATTAGTACTGCTAGTACTAGTACTAGTATAAGTACTCGAAGTGGTGCTACTGCAATTACTAATAGAACGACAAGGACTAGGACGATGGCTATGACCAGTAGTAGTAGTAGTAGTAGTAGTAGTAGTAGTAGTAGTAGAGCGCCACGAGCGGTTCAAACGCGGGGCTGCAATGGTTACACCTACCATCTGTGGAGTCGTGCACTTGAAAGCTGCTGCCACTGACATTTTGTTGGATCATCAGCAGACAGCAGGAGCATATCTTCTGGAGTTGCTCAGGGCCTAGTGGGCCGAAGCAACAGCACAGCAAATCATCGAAGACGCTATAAACGTGCTTCCGTCGGGGTGTGTTCTGCTGCTCAAAGCTTTCTGTGCGCACAACTATCCACACTTCCTGGTGTGGTTCAGTTGCTGACGGACACATGCAGATTCAGTGTTTCTTGGGTTTGACCACGGCCCCTTTCTCCACAGCCCCTGAATATGAACAGCCAGCGGGCCGTGGCAGTCGTCAGAGAATGGGAGTGCTGAATTGCAGTGGCGTTAGTCTTGAAGTCAAAGCTGAGCTTTTTCATTGGCTGAAGTCGAAACCTCATATTGGCCCCTTTCTTTTGCAGGAAACTCACTGGTTTTTCACCGGTGAATGGGAAAAGGATAGATGGTACATCTTTCATTCGGCAAAATTCTAAGCCACAACAGGGCGGAGTGCTCACCGCAGTCGGTTCTGATCTCGTTTGTGATATTCTGCTGTACATGCGAAAAATCTTGCAGGGGGCCCCAGGTCTGCTATTCATGCTGGGACCAACGAAGACCATGAGTAGCAGACGTGTAAACGTACCTGCTAAGAGGAGTACCTGGGTGGCTCAGTCCGCAGCTGGTATCCTCAACGGGGACAGTTGGTCGTATCAATCGAACATGAGTGCATATGCCATAACCTGCGTTTTGCGTGATGTTCATGAGATTTCATGGGGGCATTTGCACTGGACAATCATGCACCATAATTAGTGACAATATGTCACCCTCGACATCAAGCTTGGGTCTCGCTGTGCCGACTTGACATGTATCTTCAAGATTGTGTACGGCAAGAGCTCCCTCATGAGGGCCTTGTCGCTTTTCGGCGGAATATGCCGGCCCACCTGGGTGCTTGTGTTAGCAGGTTTGGAAATCACTTAATATTGACAACGTTCAAGTGGAGATCAGAAAGGAAATCAACAGTCATGTCTGGAAATCAATTCTGGACATCACTCTGGAGGAAGCATCTCGCGTTGGGCCTCAGCTTTTTCGGCTTCACTGCATTAGCCGGCTGACGAAAGTAGACTTGTCATCATGGACAGAGAACGCAGCCCGCTCGTCAATTACCCCACGGCGGACATCTGGGCAGCGTGTGTTGGCAATCTTGTCTGCTTAGCTGGATGCAGTAGTATGGATCGTGAGCGCTCTCCCCGTCGTGCAGGTTCGTCATTCTTTCTTTCTTTCCTTCTGCCTCTCTCCCTTTTCTTTGTCTTTCTTGGGCTTGCGGGACGGTCGATGTCCGGAAGGTCAATGTGAAGGTTAGGCAGGTCTGTTTCTGTTTGTTCTCGTTTCTGTGTTTCTGCTTTCCTTGTTTTTCTTCTTTCTCTTTGCTTTCTTGTGGGCTTGCTGGAAGGTCGAGGTCTGGAAGGTCAAGGTTCAGGTCAGGCAAGTGCGCTTTCGTTTTCTTCTTCTTTTTTTGTTTTTTCTGTTTTGTCGCCTGCTCATGTCGTGGTTTTCTCGCAATATGCATGGAAAGACGATGTCTCGGTTGTATTCGGCACGTTGGCCCTATTGATACTGTCATATTTATTTGTGTCGCACCTTGATCCCAACAATGCACCACCGTGTTGATATTGTGATATGTATTTGTCGCACATTGATGCAGCTCGGTTATATTCGGTACATCAGCGGTATTGATATTGCAGTACTAATTTATTGATTTCGTACTTGATGCAGCTTCGTTGCACGTGGTACATTGGACGATTCAACATTGAAGCACCACCGTGTTGATATTGTGGTATTTATTTGTCGCACATTAATGCAGCGCGGTTGTATTCGGTGCTTTGGCGGTATTGAGATTGCGGCTTTATTCGTTGATTTCGTACTTGATGCAGCTTCGTTGCACGTGGTACATTGGACGATTCAACATTGAAGGATGTCGGAAGGCGGTTCCCAGGGTCGAGGGACAGTCACGGATGCAGAACGTTTCGGAAGACGTTCCCGAGCTTGATATGGCACTTTTGAGACCATTATGATGCACATTTCCATGTCTTCTGTGCTCGTTGGTGGTGGACTGCTTTGTGCAGTCTACCGGTGGCCCTTCGGGGCCTGTTTGTGTTACTCTGCTGTACATTCGAAAAGTCTTGCAAGGGGGTCCCAGGTCTGCTACTCATGCTGGGACCAACGAAGACCATGAGTAGCAGACGTGTAAACGTACCTGCTAAGAGGAGTACCTGGGTGGCTCAGTCCGCAGCTGGTATCCTCAACGGGGACAGTTGGTCGTATCAATCGAACATGAGTGCATATGCCATAATCTGCGTTTTGCGTGATGTTCATGAGATTTCATGAGGGCATTTGCACTGGACAATCACGCAGCATAATTAGTGACAATATGTCACCCTCCACATCAAGCTTGGGTCTCGCTGTGCCGACTTGACATGTATATATCTTCAAGATTGTGAATATTCTCTCTCTTGGACGGAGGTGATTCCGGGCCGACTCACTCAAGTCCTGTGCAGTGTAGGACGACAGCGGTCCACCTGCTGAACATATACCAGTGTGCCTGGAGCTCCAGGACGGCGGAGCAGACGCAGGACCTGGTCCGGCGCAGAGACACGCTATGGGAGGCCTTGGATCTGCTGCTAAAGTCTGTACCTTTGCGATCCGAGATCCTTCTAGCGGGGGATTTCCATGCAGTGTTGGAGCCTCGCGTTATCGTTGCGGGCTTTGGCATACATCCTGGCAACCAGAATCCTACATTTCGGCGAGACCGTGAACTTCTCCTAGATGTGCTTCAGCGGCAAAGATTGACAGCACTTAATACTTGGACTCGGGAAACGCACGCCTACCATCACCCACAGGGGCGCTCGCAGATTGACTACGTCGTGAGCGGCTGTGCAGCATGTTACTACGATTGCATGTCCAGTGTGTGGTGTGAGCTTCGAGTGGGCCCCCAGCCTGCACAAACACACTCAGGCTAAACACCCTGACCTTAACAAAGCCGCTCGCATTCATTTCAGCCGGGCTAATCATGCGCTGTTTGGGCTACCATTTTGAGACTGGCATGCGCTCGACAAGCACGCCACGCAGGGAATGTGCCTGCGAATCAAACTGGCGTTCGCGTCCGGCCACTTTCTTGAAGAGATACTTGATCAGGTCAAAGGGGAGGAAAGATCAACCCGCCCATCCCTCCAGCAGAGCACATTGTACACAAGCACGCCGAGGCATTCTCTGAGCATGCAGTTTTTCAAGTTCCCCTTCATGATGTTCCGAAACACTCGGTCTACATCCGCACTCTTGCTGATGTTTGCGTTCTATGTGGTCAACGGATGCAACATGGGACCTAGCTCATGAGGACGCAGCTTCTATTGCGAAAAGGATGCTTGCTATTTTCCAGAAGCCCTGTCAGTTCTGTGGCAGTTCGGCCAAGCACATGAAGCAGCATACGGAGAAGTGTTCAGCCTTCTTCCAGGTTGCGGCGGTGCGCCATTTGCTGTGTCGTGACTGTCTTGGAGACGCTATGTGGCCACAAGGCCCCTGCCCCTAAGCCACATGCATGAGGCTAAGCCGGCATACAAAAGCTTCAAGTTGGCCAACACGCCTCTGGGCAAGGCCTTTGGTGGTCCAGCGGTGGTTGGATCGGTCATCCAGCCTCAAGTCGAGGAGAAGCCCCCGGTTTCATCGATGTTATCGTCAGGCAGGGGCTGCTACTGCGCATGGACACCCTGGTGCCCTCTAATGTTTCGGAGGTACCAGTCGTCTGCGGTGGCTTGTGCCGAGCTTCCCGAAGAGGCTCCATGGACGTGTCGTCTCAAGTTGCGGAATCCACACATGCTGTGTTACATGAATGCCACGCTGATTGCCCTCATGCATGGAACATCCCTTGAGCCCGCTACAGTTTCTGCGCCGCGTTGGACAACACGCCGAGGAGGAGTCACAGCCTTTGCTTCTCAGTGATTTGCCACGCTTCGCACGGATTTGCCAGCGCTGGGGTTTCGAGGCCCGTCAAGAGGACGCAGCGGAGTTTCTACTCAAGGTCCCGCTTCCGGTGAGCCAGTTCAATACAGTGTCGGGGCGCAGATATTTAACCCGGAAGGTCCCAGACTGCTAGACCGGGGAGAACTGCCTATCACGATACGCTTACAAGGAGAGGCCCTACAAGCTGTGGTGAATGCCTGGTTCAGGGAGGGAGACGGCAATGCGATTGCCTACACGGATGGACTTGTGATCCTACAGCTGCTCAGGTTCCGCCTTGGTCAGAAGCTTCAGTCGGTCGTTCGGGCACCGGACTCGGTGCTTCTACCTGTGTTTGTCGAGGGCATCAGTACCAAGCCCTCATCATGGACATTATCGGGCTATGCTCCGTGTCGGCGGCTCATGGGCATATCGGGATGATAATATTGTTGCCAGCCTCGGTGCTCTTACCTATGATCATTTTCGCAATGTGTACATGCTCTGGGTTGCCAGGGCTCAAGAGTGACTGGTGCTGTATATCTCTGCCTGGCCTTGTGTACAGTTCTGACTGTGGCGGAGATGGACGCAGAGCAGGAAGAAATGACCTTCTTTACCAAGTACTGGCCCATAGCGACGGGAGCCCAGACGGATGCCAGGAAGCCAGATGATCCAGACGCGGGACCGGCGCACAAATTGGCAAAGACTGCAGGACAGAAGGGGGAGGGCAGGGCCAAGGACCATAAAGGCAAAGGCCGCAACCCACCTGGCAATAAGCGTCAGTATGATAACCGGGGATACAACTCCTCCGGTTGGGGTAGTGGGACCCCTCTCATCAACATTGACCCTATGCAGCACAAGTCCTCTGACCCTGTGCCTGACCCTCCAGCCTCAAAGCCAGCAGCAGACGCCCGTGAGACCGCACTGCCGGCGGATGATGAAAATCTCCGAACGGCCTGCCAGCTTTTTCCTCAGGTGCCGCGAGATATGTGTCAACTTGCGATCTCATCACAGTGGCAGCAGCTAGCGGCTAGAGTCAAACACACGGACCTTCAGCTCTGTCTGCTTTGCGGTCAATGGTTAGCCCGCCCCACCTACTTTTCCCGACACCTCAGTGCCATACACCCTGAAACCTTTGGCCTGCACTCCGCGGTTCTGCAGTGGCTTCAAGATCGCGCAACGACCCTGCGCTGCCCCTGCCAATTCTGTGGCTGTGACTTTAAGGCCAGGCACTGCAGTCGTCCTAGGCATGCTAAGGAGTGCACGGTTCTCTACAGAGTAGGACTGCTTCTTAAACTGTTGGGCAAGCCCACTGCAAGCTGCACGCTGCAACAGGCTTTCAAGCATGGATCTCGCCCCCAATGCACTTCGCGAGGGAGCTCGGGCAGTGGCGGAGCAGGAGCTGATGTCAGCGGAGGCCCAGGCGTCTCTTCTGTCATCCATGATGAACAAGGGCCCCGCTCCTTCGACACCTCCGGGACCAACGGACAGCGGCCTGCCCTCTATGCCCAGCACGAGAGCCACGACGCCGACACAGGTGCCGGGAGAAGCGGTGGAGGCTCCGGAGCCAATGGATGCTGCACACCGCGAGACCAAGCGACAGGCGGAGATGCCGGAAGAGGAGCTGCAGACCGGCAACGGCAAGGGCAGGGACAAATGGCAACGTCCCCAGAGCAAAGGCAACTCTCGTTCCGGAGAGGGGAACTGGGGAGGATGGGGCCGGGATCACCAGCCAGCAGCTCCGCGTCGGTATCAGCAGCCCGGCCGCCAATGAAACCGGGACAAGGACTGGGATCAGGACGATCGGGAGGAACGGCCTCTGGATCGGGCAACGGAGAAGAAACTCTTCTCATTGTGCCTGTCAATGAGTCGGTTGATGATGAGGCACGAGGATCAGTTGTCCATCAACCGGGCGCAGGACAACTACGTCATGTTTGCCCAGACCCAAGGAGTGTTGTCAGCCGTCCCGGAGCTCTTCAAGGCGACAGAGGCCTGGCGCCAGATGAAGAAGGAGCAGCCGGAGCTGCTTCTCAGGACTTGGATGCTGGGTGGATTTGCTGATGGAAGCTGTGATGCAGTCCGAGCGCTCCATCCAGCAGGCGAAGGACACGCTCGTCCTTGACGACTCAGTTGCGGGTCAAACGGGACAGGGACCCCATGACCCTCACCCAGGTCCTCGAGCTCTTGAAACAGATGCAGGTCTTGGTCTTGCAGCCCTTGGCCATCCTCAGATTTCACACCACTCGCGAATTGGTGCAGAACATGCAGTCGGATGTGGTGCCGTTGATGCTGCAAATCGGAAGCCGAACGGCAGAGTGCCACCAACTATGGAATGCCTTTTATCGGCTAAGCCACAGTGGGGCGACCAGGGTGGTAGCCACCTCCCTTCGGGGGGATCGCATGGGACGATCGGCACAGGCCGTGGCCATTCAGAAGATGGTCGAAGAACTGTCAGGCAGGAACCTACAACTCCTGAACACTAGCAACTTTTGCTATAGTAACGCGTCAGCTTTGGCTTTTTGCTGGTTGCACACTTTAGGTCTGCCCGGCGCCGTTGATTTGCGGCAGCCTGCTATGCTACGCGTGATCAGGTGGCTCTGCACTCAGTCCAAGCCTGTAAATCTATGGATGCATATCAGTTGGCGTACTCTGCACAGTGGCTGGTCTCGGCCCACATGCCAACACGACATAGTCGAGTACCTCACTTACTTTAGGCCCCATTTGCATCCTCAGATTAGGTTTGGTTCTTGGGAAGCTAGGCAAAATAATGATGGGGTGCCGCAAAGTCTCGACGAAGGCCACACCTGGCCTCTTTACTTGCCGGCCTCGCTGACGACGCAGGCTCAGTACCACCCACAGCCATTGCCTTTGCAACACCTGATTGACCAGTGGTCGTTGACGCAGGCCGGTCTGCATGGTCTGACCTCTGAGCCCCCTGTGGTCCTGATTCAGATTAACCGGTTCCATCATACCTTAGCATCCTGCACTAAGGTTACGGTTCAGGTTGTGCCAGACCCATACATAGTCCTCCCACGGTTCGAAAATCATCTGAATCACGAACATCCGCTGGAGCTGCAGTATATGACATACTGCCGGGCTGCAACATTTTTGCATCAGGGGGAGCTGCCTTCCTCCGGGCATTACAGAGCAGTGCTTCATGATGCATCCCTGGGAGACTTCATTACGGATGACTCCCAACCTGCCCAACGCATCCAGCTGTCGACCACCCCGTACCATCAATCCGATTGCTATGCTTTCTTATACGTGCGCTGCCAGGAGATGCCCGAATTCGCGGGATAACAGTAGCTCGCAGTCAATCAGTCAAGCTGTGCCGCGACAATGTAAATACTTGTATCATACTTAACTGTACAAATTGGCCTGTACATTCTTCTGTTGAGGGCGATAGACAGCACTGCCTTCTTGCTATGTCGCAGTTGATCTGCCTATTGTCTAGTCTGGCCCTGCCTGCACACCATGTCGCGAATATTGACAGCGTAGCCTGCTCAGTTTGATCAGTTCTGAGTTCTTTTGGAGTTGTAATATGCATCCTCGCTTATGGGACCTTCGGGTCGGAGGATGCTTTTACACAATGTCGGGGTCCTCATATGAAGGACTGCACCACAGGTGCCGGGGAGCCGTCCCTGCCTACTTACGGGAGCCAAGCAAGGACCACTTTGCTGCGTGTGGAAGAAGAAGAAGAAGAAGTAGTAGTAGTAGTAGTAGTAGTACAGCCACGACAAGTACAACAACAACAACAACTACTAC